TCCGAGGATGATGCAGGTACGGTGGGTTTTATTTCATTTGATTTGGGGTGTTGTAGATTCCATTGAATTGTTCATACATAGATTGGTTGTTGCTTGGTTATTTGTTGATGAATGAAGAGATTTGTGTTGAGTTGCAAAGTTAAAACATGTGAAGATCTCATAGTAACAGACAATATTGAGCCAAAGGCGCTAACATAATCATGTTTTTTTATGAAATCATCTTAATTAATTGGTTTCTCACCAAAATTGAAACTGCTTCCCGGAACATTGAGGACAGTATATCAACAAAGTGTGTCTTTTTAGAAGGAAAATGATCTCAACTAATTAAGGAGTAAACGACGCTGATGTCAGGACTGTTGGACCCTAGAGGGGGTGATTAGGGTCTTAAGACAATAATTGTGCAATAAAAAAATTAGACAAGCAATACATCACAAAATAAACAACCAAAGTAAAAGAGATAGAGTTAGAAATCGTTATCCAAGTGAAGCGCGATGTGTTAACGAGCTTCGGCCCGCTGACCTACGTCCCCGTTCCCCACTCTCAAGGAGAATCCACTACACAATCCGGTTTGGAAGCCGGAACTTCTTCTACACAACGATCTCCACAAGATCTCACAACTATACAGTTGATCACCACAAGATCTCACTCCCACACAGTTGATCTCCACAAGATCAAGCTCACAACAGTAGTAAATGGTGTAAAATCTCTCTTTACAGTGTCCCTATGGCAAAGAGAAAGATTACACTGAAGCGTGGGATGTGAACTTGAAAAACCGAGAAAACAGGTTTGAAAATTTGGCTCTCAGTAAAATAAAACTCTGGTTTTTCAAATTGCTTGGGATAGGTTGAAGAAGAGGGGTAGAGGGGTTTAAATAGGAGAAAACACAGCAGCCAAAGCCCATACCCAAATCCCACACAATCCCTAAAAAATCATTTCAGAAAACTGTACTAAAACGTTCGTTGGGTGAACGGCCGTCGACCGTTGAATTTTCGCGGTCGACCGCGAGCCACTTACAAAACCGAGAAAATTTTCAGAAACATTAACGGTATATCGTGGCGATCGACCGTGGGATTTTTTCAGACTGACGGTCGACCGTCACGGTCGACCGCGAAAGTTTCTGGACTCATGGCGGTCGACCGTGACCGTCGACCGTGACCGTCGACCGCGAAAGACTCTGCTGGCTACTAAGACAAGAACAAGGGTGCGGTCGACCGTGACGGTCGATCGCGAATTGACAGTCTGACACAACAGATACAGCATTTAGAAAGCAGTTTTGACTCTTTAAAATCTGTAAAAATACTAAAATGAATTCTAAAAATTGTGTAACTTTGTAAATTATTTTTAACACTAAAAACAAACTGTTTAGAAAAGTATTTTTTCGAATAGGTCCTTCTACTTGTGAAAAATGATATTTTGTCAAAACGTTCAAAAATATAAGTATGAAAACGTGTGTGTGATATGCCAATAGCTTCAAGTGAAATCTACAACTACTTGCCTACATTCTAGCATTAGAGAGAATAAAAACAGTAAATATCTCTCACAAAGAAATACATTTCTTGAGTCTTGATATTGCTTGAGTTGATGAAGCTTCTCATTGTGTTTATTGTTCTTGATTAAACATTGCTTCATCACTATGTCTCCTCCTCCTTTGGATATCATCGTTGTAGCTCATATTCTATCCAATCCTCCATAAGTAGTACTAACAAGCTTGATATGTATATTAACTATAATATTACTCAACAAGCAATTAGTACCGATAATGGTGGTTGTAAATCATCATCAAAAGTATATTAACTATAATATTACTCAACAAGCAATTAGTACCGATAATGGTGGTTGTAAATCATCATCAAAACATAAGGGCTAAATTACTCAACAAGCAATTAGTACCGATAATGGTGGTTGTAAATCATCATCAAAACATAAGGGCTAACAATGACTTCAAATCATAAATTACAAATCATATATAAGTGGAGAATAAATTGTGTAACTGCATCACCTACAATCATATCATATCATACTTCCTTTAAAAGTACGAGTTCGAGAAAATCTTTCTATGGTTAATATTACCCTTAGTTTTTTTAAATATTATATATCATATCATACTTACTTCCTTTAAAAGTACGAGTTCGAAAAAATCTTTCTATGGTCAATTTTATCCTTAGCTTTTTTTGAATATTACAATGTTATCCTAATATATTCTAATTATCATATCTTCTTTAAATTGGTAACTAAATGATTTATTCTATTCATAATGAGACTTATTGGATAAAAGAGATACGCTTCATATAATTCAAATCTTTTATTTGTTTCAGTTTGTAGAGAAATCTAAAAAACATATACTAGCTAACACCTAAAAGTTTTTAGACTTTGTAAAAAATATTCTCTAAGTTTTTTTAATTACAAAAACACTCCTACAAATTAAAAAAATATTAAAACATCTTAAAAATTATAAATTTTACTTATTTCAATTTAGTAATAAATTTCAAAAATATATGCTAGTTAGAAACTGGAAATTTTTTGACTTCGGAGAAAATACCTTATAAGTTTTGAAATTGTAAAAACACCCCTAAAATTTAAAATTTATAAAAAAACACCTTGAAAAATTCAAATCTATAAACACACTAAAAACCTACAAATTAAACAAACAACCCCTAAAATTTTATAAAATTTACAATACACACTAAACTTTTTACAAATGCAAAATAAAACCCTCAAAATTATAAAATTCATAAAAATCCTGATAATTTTCAACCTAACAGTTCATTGAAAATATAGGAATTATAAATATCCCCTACATAATTTATAATTTATAGATTATACCCGTAAAGTTTCAAAAATTACAAATAAACCTATAAAATTTAAATTTTACAAAAAACCACCCTGAGAATTTCAAATTCATTAGACATTAGTAAATTGAAAGTATATAAATTATAAATAGTCTATAAACAATTTATAATCTGTAGAAAAGACCTATAATTTTAAAATTTTGTAAAAAACCCCTAAAATTCATAATTTATAAAATAAGATTAGAATCTAATCTATAGACATTAAAATGAATATGAAAAATTACTAACGACCCCTAGAAAATTAAAATTGTGTAAAAAATATTATACACCTTTTAAAAATATAGGTTTAGGGAAAAAAATTTATGGTAAATATTACCCATAACTTTTTTGAAAAGAACATAACTAATTAAAAATCTATTAAATTTAAAATTTACATAAAACACCCTTAAACTTTAGTACATTGCAAATTACCCCTCCAAAGTTTAAATATTTTCAATGATTTTTTGTAATTCCTTGAATTCAATGTAATGTTTAATTGTTTTGTGTATTTGTAAATTACAAAATTTTAGGGTTTTTTTATAATTTTTAAAACTTTTGAGGGTGTTTATTTTGTAGTTTTCTAAATTTTTATTGTGTTTTCAGTGTAATGCATAAATACGTTAATTAATAATGATATTGAAGAGTAAGTTGCTCTTAAAATTATTAGATTGTAGTTAAGTGTGCACATTACTATTTCTAGGCAGTATAGTTTATATATGCAAAAAATTTCAGACAATCTATATAGTGGTTAAAAAGATTTTAATTTTAATGTACTATTTTTTATAAATTGTATTTAATGTGAACCCACCATATAATTTTGACTGTGGTCATCATAATTTTAATACGTTTGATTGATTGACTTTATACGCATATAGATCATGGATTACTATACTTTCTCACATGAGCTAATATTTGGTGTTAAATAATTGAAATTACTACTTTTAAATTTAATATAAAGAGAAGCTCTAATATTATTTATTTATTTACCTATAGCATAATACAATCTTAATTCCTATTTTTTGTTGGAGATTTATTTCATAGTTACGCGTATCAAATTAGTAACTAAAATAATGATTATTTATGCTTAAATTATGATGATTGTAGTTGGTCACTCACTATAAAAATTTTATGAAGATATATACCATACTTTCTATAACTATCTGCACTGTCCATGTATATTTTATAAATTAGTTCTTAATTTGACATATTAAATTGCTTTTTCTTTGTAGAAATTTCTTCTTTGACTTTTAGACCGTGTAATCACCATATCATCATTCTAGCGTAGAAAGGACCTCACTTTAAATAGCTTCAAGCTAATGTTTGAGTTGCGCTGAAGTATATACTATTGCTACTATGTGTATATATTTTAAAAAAATCATGTCAACACTTTTAAATAAAAGAGAATATTCTAACCTCTGATATTATAAAAACTAAATATATTCATTTGAGTGATTAGTAAAAGAGAACTTACATCAGAAAAGTATGAATAATAAGATAAAAGATGAAAGATAATGACATTACCAACAGTACTACAAGTAGCAAACTACAATGTAAAGTTAACCTATTTTGTGGAGCCCAACTACTGGCTATAAGCATCGAAGTTTTCATATATATACTTTATAATTTATTAAAAAGGGTCATATAATCTTATATAATAAAATTAATTTAATACTAAATAGTAATAGCGTTGTAATAATATCGTTATTAGAAAAAATTCATCATGAACCAATATGTTCTTTACGATATATAAGCTATGCACTCTCAATTCTTACGTTTTTTATAGAACCAAAAATTTTGAATACAAGACTCTAACATGTTGCTCTCACAACAACAAAACTCACTTAGCAGATGTAGATATTCCAGATGAGTTATGTGTCCTATATACAATACAATTACTTTAGGCAAGTGAGTTATAATAGTATTTTTCATTCACATCATTTGGGGTGAGATTTGATAGGGACTTTGCATCAAAGAAAAATTATGCGTCCTATATACAATACAATTATTTTAGGCAAGTGAGTTATAATAGTATTTTTCATTCACATCATTTGGGATGAGATTTGATAAAGACTTTGCATCAAAGAAAAAAAATTTATATTTAGAGCACAATGCGAAATATATCATAATCTCCCTGCTCTAACTTCGTAAGAAAATAATTCTTTATAATTTCAGTTTTACTTCTATGATACAGAGAATGAACTATAAAATTGAATGGGAATATTAGATAATATAAATATGAGTATAACAACAACTAAAAGTTAACGTGAATATGAGTCAAACCACAGCTAAAAGGTTAATGAACATATTGCAAGTAAAGTATTCATATGCAAAAAAAAATTTACGAATTGAATGATCACCTATCTTTTGAAGACTTCAAAATACTAATAAATAGAGATGTTGTACTAGATTAACATGTTTATAACTCACAAATAGTAGATCACGTGATCACAGTCCGGGTTAAAGGAAACAATGATAATATTTTATTTAAGAGAGATCATTGAGTTGATGATCAATCCCACAAAACACTTTGTACCCTTTTTTATGTTTACTATTTTTATCAATTTAAATAATCATGATATTCAACCACGTGCATTACACGTGTATCTCAACTAGTAAGATGGCAAGTAGACGAGTACAGATAAGAAACTGTTAGTTTAGCTTTATGCTCCTAGTATATTAAACTATGTTGCGCTAAGCTCAGCATAAGGATTTGTTAGGAATTTTATGAAAAGATACTTTGAAAGGAAAGGAAAGGTGTGTGATGCCACCACTCACTTTAGAAGGCATCAACATAACTTTTCTCATCATGAATAATCCTTTTCTGGTCATAAAAGGACTTATGATGATTATTTATTAAAAAAGTAGCGTGAACGACAATATAAGGGGCATGTTGCTGAATGATGTTACTATTCACTTTTGAAGGCATTGACATGTCTTAAGTGAGGATTAGTTATGAAGAAGTTCTTTGAAATAGTGCTAAGGATGAGTTCTGATTTGGCCCCATCTACAAGTGATTTTTGGCTCCATTCTTGTACCTACGGTGGTTAGAGACATCACATGTAGTCTTAAGATTAGGAGCAAGGAAGAGAGCACAAAGGGTTTGCACACTTTCCTAGGGTTGTTCCAAGCAAAGTTTAAAGATGCACATTTTATGTACATGCTTGTAGGTACATAGGATGAGAAGGCACATCACTTTTTAATAATTACTCCGATCTTCTGCTCATCAATAGCTATAAGACCTTTGACCTTGAGTACAATCACTGTTTTAAAAAGCCTCTGCTTGGTCCGCCTAGGCGTATGCATAGACCTAGGCAGTACGTAGGCGCCTAACTAACGCCTAGCGCCTGGGCGATACCTAGGCTGCCCACATAGGTTTTGAGAGTGTTTAGAGGACTATTGTCTGCTTATGTAGACTGTACCATTTAGGCATTGATCGTGATTTTCTGTGTTACAGCCTTCACGTCCTTGAAGCTCCTTCAAACTCCTTTAACCTCTAAATATGAACATTTCCACTACCTCCTCTGACCTTTAGCAAAACATCATCGATCATCACTTAAATGAATAAAGAAATCTCCCTAGACACCACTTCGACACCTAAGCTTTCTATAACATTGACATTTACTATCAATTATTGTAATTAAAAAAATAAAAAAAATAAAATTTCGTAGGCTATAGGCGTCATGTCCAACGCTTAGCCCTCCTACCACTTTCTATAACATTGTTAGTTATTATTTTAGTTATTTAGTATTTAAGTATGCATTGTTTATTATGGATCTAAAATTGCTATCTTTTTTGTAAATTTATACGAGTTTAATACATATTTTTATCAATTATTATAAATAAATAATTTAAAACTTAGCTAAACGCCTAGGCGCCGACTAGGCGTCCAGGCATTAGGCGCTGACTATAACATTGGGTACAATCACAATGATAATAACTTTGCAAACCTAACAAATGAGGAATACAGTGCCAAGATTGAAAGTTTTAAGGCCTCCAAGCAAACATAAACCATCTGATTTTCTTAGGTTAATCTTGGTGATTACTGTCAGAGTGCTTGAGCCCCTATTTCTCATGCATCACCTTTCAAATCATTTGATATTTCTAAGAGAACATAGTTCTTAGCAGCATGCAAATATGCAATCAAGCATTGTCTTAGCTAGTTCTCTTTCAAGTTTCAAAAGCAACCAAATTTTAATTTATTCAGTTAGGAAGGAGCAAAGTGCTGAGTTCATAGACCAAAAGCTATTCAACTATGAAATGATTATGGTGCATTCTATTATAGTCCATCTAATATTCTAATTAGTCGATCAATGTGTCATTGAACAATTTCTCTGGACAATCTAATTTTGGTATCCTGCTTATGGCGATTCTAGTTATCAAATATCAAACATCTTGGACATATAAATTGTGAAATTAGGATTGACAAAGGAGACAACCAAATAATCTAATCTAAGGAAGACGCTATTGCCACTACCACATCTTCACCCCCACCCCTCCTCTTGACTCCACCCGCCTCCTCAAAACTCCTTCTCTACTGTCTTGTCATTCTCTTATCTGGCCATCTCCATTGACGAAACATTATACTTAACCTAGATCTCATCAAATAATTGGATCAAGATCACACAATCTTACCATATAAAATATCTCTAAATTTTTCAGTAGGCATATGAGGAGTTGAGAAATTATCAACATATAACATGTTGTGGTGGTACGGTTCAATTTGTAGCTAGTTGATAAATTTTTAGGAGTCCAGATAATTGACGGTAATTATGAGGATCCGATATATTATTACTAGGTGAAAACAGAACATTGCAGTGGTACAAAACGAACCTCTTGAAAAGTCAGTTACAATGTCAGAAACTTGTTGTCAGATATAAGGAGATACTTTAAAGTACAAGTTACCATGATAGTGTAATATTCTTGCTACTAATTGGCAGTACAGTTTTGGCTATATATTGTATTTCACGGCGTAGTTAGAAATAGTGCTATGTCTAATTAAGTAATTACGTATGACAACTAACGCTCTTGATGCGTCAATAATTAGTCATTCATACACCCCTTATCATTTCTCTCTATTCCACTAATATTAATTTCTATATGGTAGATATCTGAAGAGAAAAATATGCATTCTCTTCACTTATCTCCTCCATTCTCTCCTTCTATAGCCTGAAATTCCTCAAAAAAAATTCCAAAAAAAATCACATTAAATCCTCCTATACTTGAACAAGCTAAACACACATCATAAAGTTTGAAAGGCTTTTGTAAGGAAAAGTAAGTGATATCAAGGTATGACTCAATATTTGAAGTTAAATAGTATGTTGAAATTTAGTTATCATTTTTCTTGCATTTGTTCATATAAAAGACTAGGTTAGGTGATGTAAAATTGAGGTTATATGGTTTTAGTTAATGGAATATGTTCTTAGAAGAAAGTGGGATAGACACTCAATAAAAAAATCTGATATTAGTTGGACATAAACTTATATGGATTTAGTTTGCCTAATTTTGGAAGGTTTTTTATTTTATTTTTATTTATTTATTTATATATTTACTCTTTTTTTTTGAGGTTGTGGGGATGTTGGCTTTACAAGGAGAAACATAGAGGAGAGAGATAAGTGAATAGAGTTCATAGTTTTCTCTTCAGTTATCAACTAGGGACAAATTAATGTTTAGAAGAGACTGCATAATTTTCTCTTCAGTTGTCCACTAGGCATGAATTAATAGTAGTGGAGAGAACATTGAGAGAAATGGCTGGTTTTTATGGGGGGCAAATTGCTTGACACATCAAGAGGGTTAGATGTCAAGTTTAGTTACTTGACTAAACATAACACTAATTCTAATTACCCCATAAATACAAAAGTCAGCGAAAATTAATATTATCAATTAACACACAAAAAAACAACGTTTCACTATCATGGTTATTCCCCCATTAAATTATCTCCTTTTATTGCTAGTCTGGACTCCTATTATTTTATTTAACTACCTGAAATTGATTGATGGCATCACTGTCACATATTATATTTTAAGAAATTGTCAAGTTATCATAAAATTTTCAAGATAAGTAAGGTACGGAAAAATTCAGGGACATTACACCACTTCAATCTCGACTTCACCATCTGCCTCCTTTAGTTAGCCCTACACTTCCATCTTCGTTTGACTCACTACGAGGTGGTTGAAGGACGATCAATAGGGTTTGGAAGCATAGGTTAGGAATTGGAGTGTGAGAGACAAAGGGACTGGTTTCTGGGAGCTTGATCTCACGGAGGACGAGGAGATGTGGCTTATGGAGGTTGATGTGATGAATAGGATTGTGATTAAGGAGTTGAGGAAGGAGGTGGTTGCATCATTCTTCAAGATGGGAGTTGAGGAAGGAGACGAGGAAGGAGTCGGCTGCAACCTACTTCAAGAAGGGCCCCCTTCTTTTTGAAGTGGAGGAGGCTGTGACAATGGTGGTGGTCGAAGGTGATGATAAGGAAATGAGGTGTCAGCCAATAAAAAAGGTAAATTCTTGAAGGTCGCCATTCAAGAAAAGAATGCAGCAACATGAACCAGATATAAAGAACGATCATAATGCGATTGAAGAGCTGGGTTCCAACATACTAATAACATCTGAGAAATAATGAAGTAGGGAGTTAACAGTTTTCCCCCCTTATCCCAATTGTAATTTTTTTGTTTCTGCTGTCGCTACTAGTAAATACATTGAGAAAAAAAAATGTGACATGCTTCATCTTTTAGCTAAAATCTCCTTTCCTTTGATTTCAGAAAGTTAAACAAGAACTGGAGAGGAAGACTGTTGGCTCGTGTTGGGGAAATGGCGAGGTGAATTTCAACAAGTCAGATATGCATGATGATCTCCATGCTTTCCTCATGGAAGCTGCCAAATTGTCATGTTCCCATTTCTCCACTGGAGAAGATGATGACGAAGACAAAAAGTATTAGTAGTTAATTATCAATCTTGACCATACATCACTCCATTTTGGATAAGCAGCAAAAATTAACCTTCAATAAGTGTCATTTTTCTGATATTTGTAGAGATTGATTCAGCTTAACACAGGCAAAGATCTGAAAACTGTTGTGAAGATGCCTAATCTTCAGTCCTTTTACTGTTGATGTTGTGTGGAAATTCCACAAAGCCAGGAATCTGACCAGCTCATAAGTCATCAATTGAATTCTCTAGCTCTTTCTGTTACTGTCAACCATGTGTATGTGAAATTATTTTTCTGCTGTTCATTTGTTCTGAGCTGTTTGTATAAAGTTCATTGTATACTGTTTATTTTTAACAAGCTTGCAGATCTAACTAACGAGGAATTCAGGGCCAAGCTTAAATGCCTAGGACATCGATGGAAACACAAGCATGAGGCTCCGAAAGAATTTAAGGTTCCTCTTCCTGTTTTTTTCCTACTCAGAAATATAATCCCACACTCCAAGATAGAACTATATAACAAAAGGGTAAATTTTTTATAAAATTAAAAAAAAAAACCGCCTCAAGTTTGGGGTGTTTTGCCAAAATCCCTTGACATGATTTAGACATTATACTACCTGGTAACGTTGTTTATGAGAATTTCTAATAGTCTAGTTGGATTTAATATAATTGTAGAGAAATAGAAAAGGCCAAAATTATTATTCATCTAACCCTAACCTCTCTTAAATAGAGATTATGAGTATATTACAAAATAGGTACTAGATAAAACCATATTTAATCATATATCATAATATCTTATAATATCTGTTAGATATAAATGCTAATAATATCTTACACTCTCTCTCAAGCTGGAGCATATACAGCATATATGTCTAGCTTGCATATATGCTCAGGCTTGTTACAAATGGAAATAAAACAGCTAGTTGTAAGAGCTTTGTAATGTCATCTTTGTTTGGAATATATAAAGATGTCAACAACCAGAAAAGTATAGTCACAGTAAATAGAAACCCTAGGCGGGTAAGCGAGTAAAAATCCTAGGCGGCTCAGCCAGTAGAGAGAGACCTTAGGCGAGTCAGCCAAAAGAAAGAAACTCTAGGCGGATCAGCCAGCAGAGAGAAACCCTAAGCAGGCTGGCCAATAAAAACAACATCGGAATCAACTACATATTTTTACATCCAACGATCAGACGACGGCGGAGAGTGTTCATGATGAACAGTCCACGCGGGTAACTATTAATCGATGGACAGCAGCCCTTTTTGAGGTTAAGATTTTTCAGGGCTAGCGCTTTTTTATCAAGGTTCAACAAAGATTTAGTAAATAAATGACGTAGAAATCAAAGATATTATCGAAGCCGCTAAAGGTGTCGTTGTAGTTGCCGAGGGGAAGCATGGAGACAGTAAAACCCCTTGGCGACCCCGAGGTCAAGGAAAAAGAAAGAGGTCTCTCGTGGATCAAGAATGCTCTGATACCGTGTAGAGAAATAGAAAATACAATGTTATTATTCATCTAATCCTAACCTCTCTTATATAGACATTAGGAGGATATTACGAAATAAGTACGAGGTAAAAACATATTTAATCACATGTCACAATATCTTATAATATCTGGTATATCTAAATTTAATAATATCTAATAGTAATTTTGAAAGTTCAGACGGGGTTTCAATGATTCATAAAGATCAGGAGGTTTTCTACAACCTATCCAAAACAGTAATCAATCATAGATATCTGGTCTTAGCTTTAGGAGAAGCTCGCGGCGAGCAAACACCAACCTAACAAAACTACCATAAAGAATCACCAGACTTCTGATAAAGCGCATGTTCCTCGAAGCGTAGATTGGGGGGATAAAGGAGCAGTCACCGATGTCAAGGAACAGGGCAGCTGCGGTAACATCAAATATGTATGGGATAATTGTCGATAGACCCCTCGTACTCGCCAGGTTGAACTTACTACCCGTGTAGTTCTATTGTTACAGATAGACCCCTTGAATGAAAACTTTTTGACCCTTTTCAACGAGGGTCTATCTGCAACAACAGATTTTAGGGTGTTGTGCGCAGCGAAAATTTCGGCAGAGTTTCTAGTGCACAATAAGAGAGAAAGATCCAATAAGAATTCTCGTCTCACCAATGAAACAAGAATCTGAAGCGAATATCTCAACAAAATGAGATATCGGCTCTTCCTCTCATCAGTTCTAGGACTGACTTGTCGAGGGACCCTAATAAACTATTACAATGGCTACAAACACAAACAAACCAATTTTACATGATTCGGCAAACTGCCTACGTCCACGGGGGGCAAGGAGGGGGGAGATCTACTATTAGAGGGAGAGAATACAAATATGATTTACAATCACACAATCTAGGGGCAAGGAGGGGGGAGATCTACTATTAGAGGGAGAGAATACAAATATGATTTACAATCACACAATCTAAACCCTCACACAATCTCTCAAACCTCTCACAAAAGGACAGCAGTCAACACCCAAGAACAGCCGTCAAAAAAACCCAAAGAACAGCCTGACCTCTTCTGCGTTCTCCTGTTTGCACGCCGTTTCTTTCGCTCTCTGCCTTTTTCCGCCCCCTTTTCTCATGTACTTGTACTTCTGCCGAAAACAAATCACAGCCAAAAAACTCCTTGCACTCCCGAAACCCTAGACCAAATAGAGTATTTATAGGTGCAGGAGAGAATCTTGTTCGTGGGCAGCATCCGCAACAAGAGAGAAATTGATACATCACTGTACGTGGGTAGGTGGACCCCACGTCTATCTCTTCATGCGGCTTCACCTTTGTTTTGCTGCTCAAAGTTGTGGTCCCCACCCATTTTGCTAGCCCTTAGCTTTCACGCGTTCATAATTCTCCACCTCGGCGAAGTTTTTTCAAAACTGAGTCGACACCAACCAAATCAAATGTCTCACTTGTTACGTCCAGTACGAAGTGAAACAATTCACGACAACTGACTCAATCCATAACAAGTCGAGAACCCAAATGAGAGTACAAACACTCTTCAAATGTCGGTATCAACTCACCAAATTGATCTCACCCCCATCAAAATCCAACCCGGCTGCATCATAAAGACTGTCTACGTATTCTCTTGCCCAAGAAATCAAGTCGAACGTAGTTCACCAAATGGCCGCGAACGACCTCAATCCAATAGAAGAGTTCGTAACTCTTCTCCAATATCAGCAACTCTGCGGCTGATAGCTCCTCTAATGACCTCAAAGTGTAACGAATCAAACACCTCCACCTGAGGTGAACCAATGGCCATATCTAAACTACATCTACCAACTGCACTCGAATCAAAACCCAACTCATCATCTGCATCCAAAATCAAATGATCTCCAAATTGTGTCACCTCAGTTGGAATCCCAAACGATGCAGAATGATCTGAAGTATATGGAATAATCTCCACCCAATATGAAGTAGCATTAATCTCCACCCGCTGCGATACATCTAAGGTCTGTCTAAAACTCTCCACCTGCTGAGAGTCAAATAGCTCCATTATTGAAGCCTCAACCGAAGTGACACTACCAGACCAAACACCCAATTGAGTTTTACCTCCTATCACAGTAGTTGACAACTCTTTAATAAGTGACACTACCAGACCAAACACCCAATTGAGTTTTACCTCCTATCACAGTAGTTGACAACTCTTTAATAAGATGGCTCGAATATGTCGAAGCCTCAGTGAGTTTTACCTCCTATCACAGTAGTTGACAACTCTTTAATAAGATGGCTCGAATATGTCGAAGCCTCAGTCCAGAAACTCTTCTACAAACTATTACTTGATAACAAACACCGATCCTCCTCCAGCAAGGCACGGTTCTCCAAATTTGTCACCCTATCAAGTTGCCCTAAGATTTTCTTTCCAACGAAGTGTCTCGAAATGCCGTGAGCTTGACTCCAGTACAGAAACAAGTCCATCTTGTACCTCCCACTAAAATTAGAATGAAGTACCTTTACATTTCTGTCTATTACATACTTCTTCAATCTATTGGAGACTACTAGGACTTTCTTCAATGGGGATTTGGTTGCAACCCAAACATGCCTAGAACAGCCACCAACAAAGGAAACCAAACGCCTATTACCTCCTAATGATGCCCCCTTGGGAGGCCCCCATCCACGTGAACTCCTCCAGAACGACCCTTAGCACGGTGAATAGAGGTGCCAAATTTTACCTTGGTATTCTTGCTCACATCAACATGTTCATTGGACTTTAAACTACAGGTCTTTGCACCCTCTTTCAATCTATGCAAGAAATCAATACTGAAATGGCCAAGCCCCAAATATCGCAGTCTAGTCGAATTTATAGAAGTCGCCAGTTCTTCACCTGCCACTATACCTCCAGTCAAGTAATACAGGTTATTCCTCCTGACACCATTCATCACAATCCGAGAGTCTTTCACAATTTTGAGAACCATGTCCTCAATTAGAACATTCAGACCCTCTCCAACCAAAGCTCCTATAGAGATCAAGTTCTTCTTCAAGGAAGGAATATATCTCATATCATATAACTCCCTAACAGTCCCATCAAACATCTTGATGCGAATTCTTCCTATCCCAAGGATCTGACATGCACGGTTATCAGCTATGTATACCACACCACTATCCAGCTTCTCAAAACTGGAGAGTCATTCCCTTCTAGGGCATACATGATAGGTCGCACCACTATCCAACATCCATTCGGATTCCTCCGAATAGCAACCTGTAGGACTGATAGAAAGTGAATAAATAGAAGTATCAGAAATATTACCATCCGACATAACGATGTTTGCTTCTGATGATGGTTGCTTTTCTTTTCCTTTCTGCTTATTCTTCATCCATTCGTCGAGCTTTGGGCAGTCTTTCTTCCAATGACCAGTCTCCTTGCACCAAGCACACTGATCTTTTCTAATTGTAGGATGTCCTACTCTAGACTGTGACTTTCAATTCTTCCGGTTTGGACCCTTCCCTCTTGCGGCCAATGCCTCTGCTACCGACTCAGTCGAAGTCTCCTTATCCTTCTTCCGAAGCTAATAATTCACCAGTGCAGCAGTGACCTCACTATACGAAAGAGATGTCTTCCCATTAATCAGAGTAAGGACGAAGGTCTCATATTCCTCGTCGGGCAAGGAACTCAACAACAGTAACGCCTTGTCCTCATCTTCAATCATGACATCCACATTCGCCAAATCCGCAAGAAGCTTTGTGTAGGTGTTCATGTGATCACTAATTGAGGTTCCCTTCTTCAACTGGAAGCTATAAAGTCTCCTCCTTAAATGCAAGCGGTTCTCAACACTCTTTGTCAGATACTTGCTTTCGAGAATCTCCCAAATCTTCTACGCAGAAATCTTATTCATCACATCATATTTTAGATCTTGAGTCAAACAAAACCTAATCACACCACACGCCGTTCGATTCATCTTCTTCCAAACCTTCTCTTCAATATCATCTGGCTTGCCATCTAACTCTAAGGTATCCTCCAAATTCTGCGCGTTCAGCGCATCCAAAACCTCGCATCTTCATAATCCAAAGTTGTTTGTGCCATTAAAATTCTCCACATCTATCTTCATAGAGCGGATATTCAAACTCTGAATGGTCTTCACGGCAGAAGCACCACCCTCGACACCCGAAGCACCTTCTTTCCCCGACATATTTCTCAACGCATCAACGAACGAAGAATAGATCCAAAACTAAAAAAGATAGAGTCTTTACCAAAAGAACACACCTTTATCACCAAACAAAGTCCTAGACGAGCTTTCAAATTGATCTACTCCTCCAAATAGCCCAAGCGTAGCTCGAGCTCTGATACCACTTGCTGTGCGTAGCGAAAATTTCGATAGAGTTTCTGATGCACAATAAGAGAGAAAGATCCAATAAGAATTCTCGTCTCACCAAGGAAACAAGAATCTGAAGCGAATATCTCAACAAAGTGAGATATCGGCTCTTCCTTTCACCAGTTCTAGGACTGACTTGTCGAGGGACCCTAATAAATTATTACAATGGCCACAAACACAAACAAACCAATTTTACGTGGTTCGGAAAACTGCCTACGTCCACGGGGCAAGGAGGGGGGAGATCTACTATTAGAGGGAGAGAATACAAATATGATTTACAATCACACAATCTAAACCCTCACACAATCTCTCAAACCTCTCACAAAAGGACAGCAGTCAACACACAAGAACAGCCGTCAAAAAAACCCAAAGAACAGCCTGACTTCTTCTGCGTTCTCCTGTTTGCACGCCGTTTCTTTCGCTCTCCGCCTTTTTCAGCCCCCTTTTCTCCTGTACTTGTACTTCTGCCGAAAACAAATCACAGCCAAAAAAAACTCCTTGCACTCCCGAAACCCTAGACCAAATAGAGTATTTATAGGTGCAGGAGAGAATCTTGTTCATGGGCCGCATCCGCAACAAGAGAGAAATTGATACATCACTGCACGTGGGTAGGTGGACCCCACGTCTATCTCTTCATGCGGCTTCACCTTTGTTTTGCTGCTCAAAGGTGTGGTCCCCACCCATTTTGCTAGCCCTTAGCTTTCACGCGTTCACATAGGGGTGTATCTGCAGCAGTAGAACTCGTTCAGTAAGTACAAAAACAGAAACTACAAAGGGTATTAAGTTCAATTTGGCCATCGTGGTGTATCCGCAATTAACCCATTATTTAACCAACGTAACGTTTCACCCTGAGATTTCTTACGACTTCTAACGTGAGTTGTGCAACAACTTTCAGGATCACGCTGGGCGTTCTCAGCGGTGGCAGCAAATAGAAGGCATCAACCAAATGAAGACCAAGAAACTAGTTTCACTCCGACACAAAAGGCCAAAGCACAGGATGCAGGTTGGGATTAACAACCACAGCCTTCGAATTTGTCAAAAAGAACCACGGGCTCACCACCGAATCTGACTACCCTTGTAAAGGTGCTCAAAAATCCTGCAGCACCAAGAAGCGTAAAAACCATTCTGTAACAATTAAGTGGTTGCAAGAACGTGACAGCTAAACAGCGAAAAAAAGCCTACTACAGGCAACAGCTAAACAGCCAGTATCGGTCGCCATCGAGTCTCTGCTGGCACTGCATTCCAGTTTTGCTCTAACGGTGTATAAAGGTGGCCCATGTGGGACTAATCTTGATCATGCGATGACAGCGGTGGGATATGGAAGTGAACGAGGGAAGAAGCATCGGTTAGCGAAGAACTCGCGGGGCGCTGACTGGGGAGAGAACGGTTTACGTGAGGATGAGACGTGATGTTTCTGGCAGTGAAGGAATTTGCGGGATGTTGAAGTTGGCTCCTTATCCGGTTATGTAGTAAGCAAGCTGCTACAAGTCGTGAAATAATTGTACATATTGTGGATATAGGACGTTACAGATTTGTATCTCTTGGGGGTTAGAGAGGTTGATATTTGAAATAAGAAAGTCCAGCAAATGTCGTGGATCAATGAATAGTTGAAAATCTCCCGCTTGTGTACTTCTTGATTGAAATAATACATGCAAACCAACGGGTTCATGCTTATAACGCTCTGCAGAATGTCTTGTACAAGAAATACTAGAATCTGATTTTGGATACAACCTCAGTTGTGACAAATCACAATTTTGCATATGATTTCGGATACGACCTCCGCAAAGACTCTTCTGAAAGTTTTCTTGACCCTCTCAAGGGGAAACACAGGATCAAAATATTTTTTAAATTTAAAGTGCATCATATGAATGGGAAACAAATACATCAACACAGTAATATGTTCATCTATTTGCTTATTTGATGCTCTACTTTTCGGGTAAACGAGGAAAGAGAGTTTTAGTAAATACAGATATCATCAATGGAAGAATATGTTTGAAAAGGTAGAGAAACAAAATGGATGCTTAGATAGTATAACAGCAGAAGGAACACTATTCTAACTTTTCCAGGGTAATAATTATCATGCTAAAGTATAACCCTGTTTTCTTTAACATCATACCAAGCGAGCAGTAAGAAATATGACCTTACCGAAATAAGCAGATAAAAACCTAAAGAGACAGGGATCGAGGGAGGGGGGTATATCACCCTCAAGTGTGCAACAGAGTATATACAATATGCGACATAAAGAATATCTTTCTACGTCCATATAAGCCAGTCCATAAGTAAATCTAAGAAAAATAATAAAATAAAGAGGAGTAGTTTTGTCTGAAAGGACCAAAAATGTTGCAAGGTAAGGAAGTTAAGACGGTATAAACGAAGGAATGTAGACATTTGTGTGAGGTTTTAAACAAAACTTTCTCACAAATTTCTCTTTCTTTTTGCTAAGATTAATGAAGGATGACTTGCAACCAGTAATATTTGAACAAAGATCTTTTCCTACGTTATGGATATTTAAACAAAAGTTGAGAATCACATCCAAGCTACAAACTATTTGTTGAAAGCCTAAACACGTCGCAGCTCAAGATGTCTTGATCTCATTGATGATGGTCCAAACTGTTCTAAAGCAACGCATGAGGTTCCAGTGATCCTTCATATACACCCAAGCTTGAAAAGGCGAAAAGTATCTCCTAGCAAGCAAACTCTCCTTCCTAGAACGAAGATGGACACAGGACACGATGAGTCGAGCTTGGAGCGAGGGTGAAGCACTCGAAGCTCAGATGCATGCATGCATGCTATCTCCTAGAAAGCAAACTCGCCTTCGTAGAACGAAGACGGAGTACCCTTGGTGATTTGAAGTCAACTGGGTTTCATTTAGGCAGAATTATCAAGCACTTACCCAGCAGTGGTTTTATAATACTAGCATGAGGCATCTGCTAAGGTATGCAGACTTCATGCGGCGCCATTCGGAATATCCACCCCGCTTGCAAACTAGAAGAGAGCCTCGGAGATGTGAAATTCATCAAAACTAACACTAGCTTGTTAGCAGTTGAACTTCAACCCATATTGACCGACTCCGTAACTTAGCAACAAGGAATATGGCACTCATAACGTCTTCACCAATGCCTTGTGAACTGGAGGTAGGCCAAAAAAGACACGTTTAAGTTAGCACAAGTCTTGAAGCACAGACACGCTCATCTCCTTGGCATGAGGCCAGAAAAAAGGGGCTGCAGAAGCATGAGAGCAGTGTCCAATAGATCCGTACGCCACTGGAAGTTCACATGCCTTTTATACCCTTAGCTTTCCTTTATAATCAATCTGATACAAGCTAAGAATCTTCAATCGAAATATTTTCGTCTCAATTGTTATGTGACAGCATATACACAATATGCTGCACTACAATCCCATATTTGCTTCTAAGCTGATGGCTTCCTGCTTGATCCTAGTGCTGTTATTCCTGCAGGCACCTCTAAACTCCTGCTTCGGTATCGTGCTCAACGAAGAGTACGCAGAGAATCAAATAAGAAGCAGATATGAGCACTGGATTTCTCGTCATCGTCGCTTGTACAGAGATGAACACGAGAAGGCACATCGCTTTCAGATATATCGGTCCAATCTTCAGCTTATCATGAGCTTCAATGACCTTGGCCTTGGGTACAATCTCACTGATAACAAGTTTGCAGACCTAACGAATGAGGAATTCAGAGCCAAAATTCAATGTTTAGGACCTCCAGTAAAAAGCAAACACAAGCCTTCAAAAGAATTTAAGGTTCCTTTTTTCTTTTTCCGAATACACAGAAATTTAAGCTAGAACTGAATCCCCCTGAACTTTAGGGTATTTTGCACAAAATCCTAGCTTGGGCAGAGATGATGATGGATAATGTTATCTCCACCTACTAAATATAACCTATATGCTAGTATTTTCGAGTAAGGATAGGTAAAAGTAAAAAAGGGCAGTTTAAACTTTTTCTCTACACATCGTATATGAGCAATTCCAATAGCTCAAATAAGTGTAATAAAATTTCAAATGTTCAGGGGGATTTCTATAAATTACAAAATTCTTTACCCGAAAAATTACTGATTGAATGATTTCTTTCTTAGCTTCCAGAGAAGCCAATGCAGCGCAAACATCGACCTAGAAAACATAAGAAGCATCACAAGACTAAAGGTAAAATGCACGTTCCTGAGAGCATAGACTGGAGGAAGAAAGGAGCAGTCACCAATGTCAAGAACCAAGGCAGATGTGGTAACTCCATAATCAAACAATAAACCTACAAGATTTCATAAATCCATCATTACTAATAACTATTCTTTCTTATTCTGCAGGATCATGCTGGGCATTCTCAGCAGTAGCAGCAATGGAGGGCATCAACCAGATAAAGACCAAGAAACTCATCTCACTCTCCGAACAAGAACTGGTCGACTGCGATCGAAAAGGTGAGAACAATGGATGCAGTGGGGGATACATGCACACAGCCTTTGAGTTCGTCCAACAAAACCACGGTCTCGACACCGAGTCTGACTACCCTTATAACGGTGATCAAGGGTCCTGCGACACCAAGAAGCTAGAAGACCATTCTGTAACAATATCTGGTTACAAGAATGTGACAGTTAACAGCGAGAAAAGCTTACTACAGGCAGTAGCTAACCAACCAGTATCGGTTGCCATTGATGCTGCCAGTTTTACATTCCAGTTCTATTCTGCAGGCGTGTTTAGTGGTCCATGTGGATCAGAGCTCAACCATGGGGTCACAGTGGTGGGATATGGAAGTGAGCTAGAGAAGAAGTATTGGATAGTGAAGAATTCGTGGGGTGCTGATTGGGGAGAGGGTGGGTATGTGAGGATGGCACGTGACATTGCTGATGATGAAGGAATGTGCGGGATAGCTAAGATGCCCTCTTATCCACTGAAGGAGAAAGAATTAGCAGTTACAAGTTTATGAAACATAAGCATTTAAGAACAAAATAATGATGTCATAAATTTGTATTAATTTCTATTATCTATCGGTTGTTAGCTTTTGGAGGTGGGGGGGGAGTATTCGCTGGTGTGGGGGGGGGTTTGTTCAGTTTGGATGCGACATGAAGAAATAAACATGTCAAGGAACTGCGATAGATAAATGAATAAACGTACCCAAATTGTAAAACGTTAAATCTGTATATTTCTTGATTGGAATAATATATGCAAATCAAGAATTCATGTTATGATACCCTGCAAAATGCGTTGTTCTGCTACTTTACAGCCTAAGGTCAAGAAATACTAGAATCTCATCCATCATTTCTTCAAGTAATAGCTCATAGTACAGTTATATTTTTCAGCATTCTAGCTTTACAAATAAAAGGGTGAAATTCCCGCAATGACTTCTATATCCTAACACCAGGCATCTTCTCCTCTATCTTCCCTAAACCAAATTAGAATCATTGCAATATTGTTTGATTTCAGGTACAACCTTCCAAGTCTGTTTTAAACCCCGACAAACAGAAACTACCTAGCAAATGGAAAGACAGGTCCTAATTTTCTGTCTCCTCTGCCCGTTCAGTGCCAATAATGGGACATTTATATGTACAGATCTTCAATTAGCTTAGAACTTTTCTTAACCCTTTTGAGGGAAATACGTCATCAAAATTTTTAGTCAAGAAAACATCAAATGACTGGGAACAAATATTTAATTTCTCTACTTTTCAGGCCTACGAGAAAATGAAGAACCCTTTACTGAATATAGATCAAAAGAAGAATGTGCGTGAAAAAGCCTGAGAAACGAATGAAAGATTAAACAATATAACAGCAGAAGAAACGCAATCAAATAAGTACAACCTCACAGAAAGAAACAAACAAAAACCTAACGAACAAAGCTCTATAGAGATGCAACGGAGGATAAACAGTACAGACAGAAAGAATATGTTTCTATGTCCACATAAGCCAGTTACATATCAATCTACAAAAAGATAAAAGAGGGTCCAAGGACAAACCTTTCAAATCCTAATTTTCTGAATAGAGATTGTTGTAAGGTAAACAGGATAGAGGGTGTAGAATGAGTACATTATAAAGTTTGTAAGGTTCTTAAACAAATCATTTTCTCAGAAAAATTTTCCCCCTTCTTAACATGCGGGTAAGATAAATAAAGCATGACATGCAATGAATAATATTCGAACAAACTTCTTTTCCCATGAGAAAATACAAAATTCCTTCACAATATATGGTAGATAAAAGATAACAATCACATCTAAGCTACAAACTACTCGTTTAAAACCTCAAACCTAGAAACATGTTGCAGATCAAGTTGTTTTGCGCTCATTGATGAAGGTGCCAACTCTTTTAAACCAATGCATGAGGTTTCGGTGATCTTTCACATAGAGCCAAGCTTGAAGAAAGGGGAAAAGTTTCTCATTAACCCCGCGAGCCTCTATGTACATATGAAATCCATCCCTCATCTTCTGGTCTAGCTCTCTGCAAATCAACTTCCATGGGTCATACAACATAATGATATTCACAACCATTTCTATATGAACTCCACAACAAAGAATAATGTTGAAACGCAATATATAAATATAGGGTAGTCAGTTGTAGTTGTATAAACATATCATGAAAAAATTCTACCAATGTTAGCTTAACAAACTATAACATTTGTAATTCTGGTGCTTGACTTCAACTAAGAGATTCACCCAATAAAACTGAAGTTTCAATTGAAGATGTTTTAGCATGTCTATTAAGATAAAAATAAATAAAGAAACATAAAAGAGGCGAGTATCAGGTTTAGAGAGACAAGACCTGCCTGAATTTGCACTACATCCTAACAGTCTATTTTTGTCGAAGGATGCCTTTGAAACACAAAATGAATAGAAGAATGAAAGTTCATCTGCATAATGGGCGTTTAAAATGATATCTCAAGTCACATCAATATTCTAAATATCAGCCAACATGGCCGATGTTCCCCCCTAGTATTGATTTAGAGCCCTGGTCGACAAGAAATTTAGAGTTTAACTTCGCGTTTTCTAGGGTTTATTGCTGATATTTCAAGCAATATCAGAACAATCAGCCAGAAATTCGGACTAAAAATCGCAGGCGAAATGTGAAGAAATTGGGCCTTTAAAGTTTAAGTTCAGTTTGGTATTGGGTTCTGAGTGCAAAATCCAACCCGAACCAACTATCAACCCCTAACCTCCGAGACAAAGCCC